CAAAGTCCGTCAATAGTCAATTAGACACCCCCTGAGAAGGGCCACAAGGAAGAGACCAGCCAGTCAGGGTGCAGTATAGCACCAAGGAAACACACAACTTTCCTCTAGTTCTTAATGTCCCCCCACCCTATCATGACCCCAATTCTACCTTACAAATCTGCCTGGACTAGAACATTTCTACTGGTACAGATAAGGGCTCTCAACACAGGGAATCCAGGACAGATAAACCCCTCAGGACCAATAAGGGGAGTAATGATACGAGGAGGGGAAGGAAAGAGAAGGGGGAGCAAGGGGGAATCAATCACCATAATTGACGTATGGCCCCCCTCCCAGGGGGACAGACAACAGAAAAGTGGGTGAAGGGAGACAGCAGTTGGTGTAAGAAGACAGGAACAAAAAAATCATAAATTATCAAGGGTTCATGGGAGAGGGAGGGTGGGGGAGGGAGAGAAAAAAACGAGAAGCTGATACCAAGGGCTCAACTAGAAAATGTTTTGAAAAAAATGACAACATATGTGCAGATGCGTTTGACACAATAGATATATGTATGGATTATGATCAGAATTGTAAGAGCCCCCAATAAAATAATTTACAAAAAAACAAAAAGAGGTGAGGAAAACCACTATTAAGTGTTGTGCAAGTTGTAGACCTTGTCCAGACCTGGCGTTTAAGGTGGTGTCGCTGTGCCCAGTCTTAGTTCGAGCATGATTGATTCTCATTATAGATACAAGTATTTCATATCGGTAAAAGGAACTGGCAAGACTATGGTGACAACTTTGGTGAGCAAATGCAAAAAAAGAAAGAAAAAGACTGGAAAATTTTAAACTTTGCCTTTAGTTTTCCATTATTCATCAAGGACATTAGCATAGTTGTTGCACTTTTAACATTTACATTCTCATCTATTTTGAATATTTCCAGTTGCTTTGGGCCTTTGGCATGTAGTCAGAGTGTGTAAAGTTGAAAGGGGAGGGTAGTCATGGTTTGTAAAGCTGAAAAAAGACTTTCAGTTAATTTCCCCCCCAAGTTCTTAAGACTATCACCCAAAAAAGGGTAGAGGGCTGATTTTGAAACTATTATAGTGGAAGATGGTATTTGAAAACTTTTGATGAGGGAAATTGCCACCGTATTTACATTTTGAAAAGTGTTTCCTTATTTACACACTATTGACTTCCTATTGAGACTCAAAATTTTAAGTACAACTGGTAAAGAATTCAATGGATCAAATTCAGTAAATCTGAAGTCACTGGAATAGAGGCCCCTAAGAAAAAATGTGTCAATTTTAAAGGTCTTTCCTAACTGAAGACCATTTTGTGATGGAGCCAAAGGTTAATAAAATCAGTAGTGAATGTAGCAATTTTACAGATAAGCTATTCACAACAAGTGTAGTTACTTGAATAAAAAGCTAATTCAGCCCTAAAATGCCACATGCAGCAGCAGTGAATAGCTGCTTTTAGGTGCTTTCTGGAGGAGGATGAAATACAGAATCACGGCACTCTTCTCTTCCAGCGTCCCTGGCTGCCTGTAAATTGCTGTGAATGGGGCTGTGGGCTGACAGGCTCTATTAAGACAAACTGCCTTTCTCATCGGAGAGATAAAATAAATCAGGTGTTTAGTCAAATTAAAATACTTCAGCTGGAGCAGGCCCTGGGGAGCCCTGATCCACCTGACTAATCTGAGAGAAACTCAAGACAGATGTGGTTTGGGGATAAAGAAGACCCCATGGAACAAAAAAAAAAGAAAGGAAGGAAGGAAGAGGCGGGGGTTCCTGTTGCACTGTCTTTGGACTTGGAGACTAGATGGAGTTCATTGTGGTGAGTGTCAGAGGTGCCCCGCGTGAGCTCCTGGAGAAGAGCTCGCTGCCTCAGAGAGGCCGTTTGCACGAGCTTTGTCGCTGGTGCGATTTGGGGGTAGTTAATGAAACGACTACTGTTTTTGTACAGGAGGCAGAAGAAGCTAATTTCTGGTATAAAGCAGTTTAGAGGCTCCTTTTAAGAGAGTTTGAAAGATGTGAAACATGACACTAGGCAGCTACTGAGGACCTCTGCGGGGCCTGACAGGTCCTTAGCATCCGATGGAGTTTTCTTCCAAGTCAATTGCATGAAGCCTCCAAGTATAATTTAACACAAGATTTCCATAGAATTACATGACCTCCTTAAGAGCATGCTACATAGTGTTTTACTTTACTTAACATGATCTGGCCACATTATGTTTGCCTCCCCCCGCCCGTAGTGTGCTCTTGGCAACTTCAGCAGTTGTTCCTTTGCTATGGCACAGTTTCATATAGAATGAAGCTGGGTGTTTTTGTTTTGTTTTTTTAATTTTGTTTTATCAGAACTACTCTTTATTTGAAAGGTGGGTGGTTGGTCAATCCGTGTGATTCACACTTGGAGTTATTTCATTACGACAACATATGCACTAGCTCTGCATTAAAACTAAGACGCCACTACAGTTTTTAAATGCCTGGCTTTACCCCAATATGTATGAACAAGTACAATGAGTTGAGAACAAAAAACTGACCCTACACATACTCATGTTAGTCCACACATTTAGGTAATGTCAGCTACTTTGTGGTGCACTTTCATGTCTCCGTAATGAACTCCCAACAGGTCACATGACAGGTTACAAATCTCCTGTGCAGGGGGACTTTTTAACCTGGCTCACTTCTCTTCACCCTCACTTGCTACCATTCAGATCTAGCCAATTGCTCCGCAAGCTTAAGGAAAAGTGTGCGCTTTTCCCCCCTCTTAAACTGGCATCTTTTGAAGGGTTTATTCTGTAAATCCAGATACTCATACACGTATCTATGAGCTTTAGCATTGGAAGCACAAGGTGTATGTATTTACTTCACCTTGAGCAGAAGCGGCTGACTGACCAAAGCCAAACTCGCTGCCAGTGACTCAGTGATCCTCTAGGACAAGGTAGAACTGCCCCTGTTGAGGTTCCGAGACTGTAACTCTTTATTGAAGTAGAAAGCCCTTTCTCCCAAAGAAGAGGCTAATAAGTCATTTATCCATAACTTCTTTGATTCCTATACAAAAGAGAATGTCTTTGTAATTCTTATCAATTGTGCTTTATGTATATGACATCTGGATTAATGTGTCTCCTCCCACTTTGGATTATAAACTGCATGAGAATAGATACTGTGTCCGCTTTTACTTGCCATTTTATCATTAGATCTTAATGTAGGACTTGCCATATTGTTGCCACACAGTGGTTAAACAGCTCAGCTGCTACCTGAAAGATGGGCGGTGTCAAGAGTCCCCGTGTTTTGAGGGAGACAAGTCCAGGGGATCGGCTCCCTTAAGTATTTCAGCCAGAAAACCCCGTGGGACAGTTGTACTGTCCGTTAAAATTCCCTTTCCAACCCTGGTCGACAGTGACCCTATTGTTGCCTTCTAGTGCCGCTAGCCTCGACAGATACATTAGTTGAGCTTTACTTGAAAAGATTTCAAGGCACTCATCAGAAACTGCTTCTGTGTCTGGCTACATTCTAGCCTGAGAAGTTTTTCCTTTTGCCCAGCCGGAATTCCTTTCGCTGAATTTAAAACCAATTAAAAAAAATAAATTCGATATTTAGAGAAAAGGAGTTGCTATCCCTCATACAACATCTGTTCTTGCATCAGAATACAAATTTGTAACATCATTTTACTATCAGGTTTTGTCTTTTAATTATAACTTCAGGGCATCTTTCAGTTCAGTGGGTGTTTAGGAGAAACTGACAGGCTTTTGTTGCTGTTGCTTTGTCTTTTAAAACCTGGGTTGCTGTTAGGAATCCCCTTAAGTTCTGGTGGGGGCCTCTCCACTGCCAGTATTATTCTTAACCTCTGGGAATCACCTACCAGCAAGTGTCCTCTGAAGGTCCGTCTTCTCCCTGGGGTCATTCAGAAAAGAAGACCACTTCTAGTTAAAATATTTCTCATTTCTTAGATTGTGTTGGTACTTTCTTAGCAGGGATGAGTCCCCTCCTGTCCGCCTCCTACCCAGGAGGTTGGAAGTCTCCCCTTCTACACACAAATTGGCAATCTTTGTCCCTTTGACAGCTGGTGGCGTCTTTCTGAAAAGCTTGCAAATCATAGATCATTTCTCCATAGTGAAACCTGCGTGGCTCAAATACAGTGGGTTGAAATTCTTATCTTATGCTGCGGTAAAATGCTCTAATTTAGATCCACAAAAGGATTCTGTACACTTTACTTAGGAGAGGCGTGCAATTTGCCCATAAAAGACTGCTGAGCGCCATTAGTGCATACCATAAGTGTTCTGAGGCATCATTTTCATTAAACATCATATCCTTATGCATAACCTTTTCAACCTGGGAATATGCCTCCGCCCCCCCCCCCCACCTTTTGAAGAATGACAAATGAGAAAGGGGTGCGGGAGCCCCAAGCAGCACTGTTACCTTTGAGGATGAACTTGGGTACTTTGAGCATGATCTCCTCACAGTAAAACAAAACATCCTAAAATGGCAGAGGTGATCCTTTCTTACCTGAACAAGCTTTGATTCTCTCTCTGTACTTGTCCTCTGGCCAAGAGATGGGTCCCTCTCTTCTGAGCTTGAGAGATAGATACTTGCACAACGAAAAATTTTCATTAGGCCAGTAACCAAAAGCTTTCTTAAGTAACTTTCTTAAGCACCCACAATGTCTTGGTGACTGTATTAGTCACCGAGGATAGAAGTGATTACAATATTACTACCATCCGTAGTTCTAATCTTTGGTATTACCAGGTATTACCTTTGGGAGGAGCGAGAGCATGTCTGTTTTATTTGGTTCTGTTGGGACCTCAGGAAAGGGTGGGTGAGAATTTGACAGGTGACACCACTGTCCCGCCTTGGCAGGGACAGCGAAGAGCCCTAGCACCCGCTCCTGCATCCACAGTGGCTCCCACCTGTCTCAGGTCTCTAAGTGTCTGACGGCAGGCCCTTCATCAAGCCTGCCTCTCTTTGCTTCCGTCCACCCAGATTTTCCTCAAACTCGTGAGCCATCGTTTCGCTTCCATTTTAGGTACACCTGAGAGCCTGGCAGAAAAAGAGCGGCAGCTCTCCACCATGATCACCCAGCTGATCAGTTTACGGGAGCAGCTCCTGGCAGCGCATGACGAACAGAAAAAACTGGCAGCCTCACAAATTGAGAAACAACGGCAGCAAATGGACCTTGCTCGCCAACAGCAAGAACAGGTGAGCCCTGCAAAAGAGGCTGATGAACGGGAGGTGTGGAATGTGCCAAGCTCAGCGAGCCATCCCATTGATTAGCTTATTTGTCATCTGCTTTCCTTAAAAAAAAAAAAAAGTAGCAAAAGAAAGAAGCCTTTTGGAAAGCTGAGGTTCAGAAGATTACGGAGGGACTGTGTTTATGACAAAGAAAGCATCATCACAACCAGACACTATTGAAATGATAAACTGTTTTCGAATGTTTGGATCAGATTAATTTCTCAGTGATACCTACTGCAGCCCAAGTGCAGTTGAAGCAGGAGCGACTCACTTCACTCTGGGCCTTACTTTCCTTATCCCGAGAAACTGTGGAAACGCTTTCAGCTCCCTAGTTCACCGCTTTCCTCCGACTTTAAAGCTAGGGTGACCAGACAGACGTCTCCGTTTTCCCAGAACAGCTCTCAGTTGACGCCTGATTTTCAGGGTAATAATTAATTCTCTCCCATCCCCCCACTTTCCACGTGAAAAAGTTGTCCAGGTTTGGTTGACACATTATATGGCCACTCTATTTATAGCATAGGTAAATCATTGAAAATAACTTGACGCATGTTCCCGATAAGAATTGGACTTGATTGACTTAGAAGTAAGAATGAAGCAAAGTTTAAAGGCTTGTCTTTAGCAGTAATTCACGTTCCAAAATGTGCTCCTTGCTTCATACGAGTACATTACTTTAACAACAATGACCCTACAGAGTAGTCCCTGATGCTTTAGATCAGACAGACCCAAATTAATTTGCAGTCTTTAGGAGTCTGACATCATTACTGGAATTATCTTTTCAGTTAAATGTATTTTATAGGGGAATATAGAGCAATATATGCTCTGTTGATTTTAATGAGTTGTGACGTCTGGTATTTTATATGCTTGAATATTTGCCCACATGTAGGAATATGGACTCAGCCCCTAATGGAAAATAACATAAAGGAACACTGTAAAAAATCAGAAGTTAGAATGTCATTTAGCCATCCAGAGATGACACAGTAATTAACTATTGACACTTGTGAATAAGCTAGCACAAATTAATCTTGACACATTTGCAGACGAGTGATATCTTACAGTGAACACTTTGTAATTATATTTCAAAATGAAAATTAAATGACACTTAAAACTAGGTTGTCATGCTCAATGAAGCGAGCATGTAGCTCAACCGATTGGCAAATAGAATTCAGAATTTGAGCCACATGGTGCTTATGTACCATACTTCACGATGTCAGACCCACACGTCGAGAGTGGATGAGAGTAATTGCACTGTGGTGTTTTGCTGCATTTCTCTGCAGCACTGTATCATTTAGGAGGGACCATCAATATTAGATGCCTAGTGGTGTTTCACTGGTCTGCGAAGAGGACATAAATATTCATAGGCTCGAGCATCCACACCTGAAGTTGTAGAGTGAGTTGTTCGTTTCTGATTTGAATGGCAACATGCAATGGGGGCCATTCCAACCTGAGTAAAGATCCCTTCCATTTTAACTATAAAGTTGTGGAGAGGAGTGGTGCCATCCCTCTGGCTGTAATCTGTGGTGAGGGTAGTCCCATCATGATTTCCAGTATGACCCAATCACCACCAGAAACCATAAAAGTCACGCGTGGGAATAGATCATCGTGCTGACATCTGATGCTGAACAAAATGGAATGCGGGTGTTCCCCCCACCTCTAGCCCTGCCCTGTTAATTCAAACACCTAAAAGGCTCACGAAGTACAACTGGAGGCTGAGCCACACTCATTTGTGCACAGACCTTTTGCTCTTTATTTATAGATGTAGAATTTCATATCCAAACTAAGCTCCTTTAGAAAATGTAACCAGAGTTCTCCTGTGCTCATTCTTCAAGGATTAGATTTCTAAATCCCCATTTTTTCTAAATGGCCAGCACAGAGATAGGTGAACAGATACGATTCAAGGGGTATTTTTAACCTACAGATAAAGATTTAGGGGTAAGCAGAGACATGATTGAAGATATTTATCTCCAGCTTTCTGGAACGGCCTTCCTCATTTTATTAGGAACTCTTTGACATAGAGGAGTGCATTAAAGCCTTCTTGTAATACCAGGAGAGCTACCTGAGGTAATGGCAAAGGTATGGGCATTTCATTTTAACTTAATGAAACTTTATTTCTGATAGATTGCAAGACAACAGCAGCAACTTCTGCAACAGCAGCACAAAATTAATCTCTTGCAGCAACAGATCCAGGTCAGTGTATTTTATTACTCTCATCTGATTATGCTTAGATACTTTCCTCCTTGAAAATGGAATTTAAAATACTGCCAATGCACCCCTGTCTTATAAACAGCACCAATAGGATATGGTACAGAACTATATAAATAGATATAGAAAATATAGATGAGGCAGTGGCACAAGCATTCTCCTAGGCATAAGCAGAGTAAACTTTATCTTTGTTTCCTTCTTCAATTTACTTAAAGCAAAGTAGTGGAAACCTACTTGTTTCTATTCTAGGATACAGATGCCATCTTAAAGCCACAACTCAACTCTTTGCTTTGTATTTTGTTATCTAATAGCATTGTTGGGAGAAGCTGATTGAGCCAATTCTGAGGAGAATTTTATGACATGGGAAAGGCTGGTAATATTTGACTTGCTCTTTCACAAATATTAACTGCATTCCTGCTGTGCAGTGTGCTGTTATGTTAGGTGCTGAGGGCAGCCACATCAAGATTAGTGGATAGTAGTCTGCCTTCAGGGAGCTTGCAGTCTAGATTGAACCATCTGGCATCCTTTCAAGTCACTTTTCCTTGTGGTAGCACTAAAGCAAGACACAGATCGCAATGATAGTACGATGGGAAGGGAAAGCAATGGTATGATTTCTTGTTTAAACATACTCGATGGTTGTTTCAGCTAACAGCTCTTTGGGATAGGTAAATATAACCACTGACATATCTTCCAGAAAGTCATAGAATAAAGAACTGGTGATTTGGTGATTAATCCTCAGGAATCCTGATCCTAACTTTTAAGTACCTCACCAGAGACTCTTGTTTCTCTCGGTTGCTGTGGGTATTTTCCAACCTGCTGGCATCATTGATTCCACTTAGTTGGCCAGCATATTCCAAGTTACACAAGGGGCTTCAAAAAGTTCACAGAAAAACCCAGTCTTTCTATACCTTAAAACAGCATAAGTAACCTAAAGTCCTCTTCTGCCTCATTGAGGAAAACTCGGGATTTAAAAACTTATGTCCTTCCTTCATTTTACTGAAAACACTTCCTGTTCCAGGGAGCAGTCGCTGCCGTTTACATAAGTGCTCATTTTGTGCCGAAACAAGTAAGTGTACCTCACTTGGTGTTGTGTCCAACCGCCTTTTCGCTAGAAGATTTTAAGCTGGTGTTTTGATTCGGATTCTATGTTCTATACCAAGTCTGTCTATACATCTCAAAAGAAAAGTCAGATAGAAAGTAGAATGTCTCTGACATTTCCGACTGTCGTTACAATTAAATCCTGGAATAATGATCTCTTTTGTGATTCATACCGAGATCCTTGATTAAATAACTGTCCAGGTGTTCTTTTGTTCGGCCCTTTTGTTCTTTTGCTCAGTGGGTTCTTACTGTCAAGATCAATATTATAGCCTGTCCCTGCTTATAGTTTTCTATTGATCCCTCTTTAAGCACTTAAACCCCAAACCAAACTCATTGCCATCAAGTGGATTCTAACCATAGCGACTGTATATGAGGCTTCAAAGACTATATCTTTACAGGACCTGACAACCTCATCTTTCTCCCATAGGATGGTTGATGGGCTTGAACTGTGAACCTTGTGGTACAGCCCAGTGCTTATCCCACAGTGCCACCAGGCCTCCATTTTAAGAACTTAGTGTTAAATAATATCATTTCATTTTGCTTCTCCTATTTGTAATGCAGAGATGGACGATGTTCCCTGAGGCATTCTCCTATCAGTTGCTTCTTATTGTTTGTGCTACCCCTTAGTTATTTACTTTAGTACACATCTCACTCCTTAAGTCACTAGTTATTTGTATTGCCCAGCTATCTGATGGACATTTGCTGAGGAACACAGAAGCAGCCAAGTCAGCTTGGAGTATTTTTGTGAACTATTATCACTATTTATTAATTATATTTGATTTTTAAGGTTGTAATTTGACTACATGTAGTTGTCATTTTTTAAATTGCCCCTTTCTTGTTTCAGAAAACTAGAGAGCATGATCTTAAAAAATTACTTCAAGTTTTCTAATAGGAGTTTAATAGTTTTTAAAGCTTGTGGATATTTGTCATTTAAGAAACTTAAAACAAATGAAGATAATCAGCATTAGAATTCAGCAGTATAAAATATTAAATTATAGAGGGATTCAGTTTGTCAGAATTACATTCATAGTAGAAATAAAGAATTCATTGTAATCGGAATTCATATTTTGAAAAATAACAGGAAATAATAAGAGCAAACTTACAGTTCATTCTATCCTGAGCTACTGCCTTACTACATGGCTTGTCAGTATTTATCTTATCATATGAAACCACTCAAGGAATTTCTCCTTACACAAAACATATTCATCTCTGTTAACTAATAAAACAAGTATTTGACAGTCAGATTCATAGTTATGTTTTCGGAGGGGGCATGGATTAACTATATTCTCAAATTCAGTTTATGAAAAGCCACAGATTCAGCCAAATGTAGGGGAGGTAGTATTGCTATCGATAGTATAATTTTAATATATACTAGTTTTAGGTAAATATGAAATTTAAGGGATGCATCAAAGCAACTTTTCACATTTGAAAACAAAATAGAAAAAAAAGAGAAAAACCCAATAGACCAAAACCCCAAGATGATAAAAACAAAACTTAATCTCTTTTATAAGGCCAATGAGAGATCATCCGAGCAACTTTGTAACCTTTTTTCTCTTTCTTTCAAAATCTGAGTTATATAGCTAACTCGCTTGACAAGATTAAGCCATGGGCCATGAATATAAGATGGTTATATTCAGAATTGTTCTTCTGTTTCAGAAAGCTGATTTTGAATTAGTCCTGTTTGGGAAGGGCAGCAGGGTGGGGTGTCTGTGATTTGCAAATTTAATAGAAAGAAAAAATGTCTTCTATTTTTTTGTAACAACCACACACAAATACATCTGGGCCTATTTTTATAATTAAAACACATGAAAAACCTGAATGGTTTTAACAAATTGAACAGTAAGGTATTTCATTAAAGAAAGGATTTGATATAGTACTTTAAAAGTTTCTAAGATTATTTTGTTTTCAATCACTTAACGTTTATATGTACAGATAAAATGATTTAATTTACATTATTTAGTCTTTTAATAAAGTTTTAAACATGATTTTGCCTTGATAATTACTAACTAAACTTTTAAAGATAAGCTATGTTTACAGAGTAGGATGAATTATTTTATGAACTAGTGTTTTTATATTTTTGATGAGTCAACTTTTATAATTTAAGAAATCAGAATAATAATTTCAAAAGATTATTAAAATATTTTAATATTAATATATATTTTAGGAGACTGCTTAGTGAATTCAAATCCTTCTGTTTGTGTTATTCCCCACTCATGGATCCTATAAGATATTAGATACTTTTTATGTTTTCTTCAGGACAGAAATAACATAGTTTGTGTACATCATAGGGAAAGTACCAAGTGAATAGATCATGAAATTTGAATCCCTGAAAATTGAAATATGAAGTCGCGTGGTGCAGTTGTAAAGACAGAAAGTGATTTCAGTAAGGTCTTCCTCATTTTCGCATCAATGCACTACAGGACCCTAATCAATCTTTTGACTCTGTTGTTTATGAGTTACTGTTACAAGTAAATCAAATTCAATTTTAATCCCTTTGACAGTTATAAACAGATCAAAGCATGTTTATATTATTTTGGTCAAAGCATATGCATGTTACTTCTGATAATAATTTATTATTTTCAGAATAAAGATTTGCCTAGAATAGTCCTATAGTATTATTAAAAATCCTGGAATAATCCTATATTATTAATTATAGGCCTATTCTAAGCAAAACAAGAATATTTTTAAAATCTTGATTTCTTGATTCAGCCCTACACATATTCATCTAACCTCATATGACCAGGCCGTGGGTTGGAAGCTACATTCTTTCATTTCTGCTATAGCTTGTCAATAGGCACGCTGACATTTCAACTAGAATTTAACTTAATCTTTGCAATGAGAATTCTCTAATGAGAATTTGCCTCATTAGAATATCTGTGAGAAAGTTACATTTTCTGGATGTGAATGCTGTTATCCAATTATTCATGTCTCTTCAGATTCCAAGTTTAGAGTTTTTCAAGTGGTCTGTGTTATGTGCTATAGAAACTGTCCTCGCACTCCTGGCTGAACAACAGTCTCTTTAGGAACGGGCTGGCTGTTGGGAGCTTTCTTTGGGCATTTGACTTTGTGGGCCAGCGCAATGATTTAGTCAATGCCTACACCTTTTGGGGGGTAGGTCCTGGAACTGTTAGCTTTTTTTCATGATTCATGTACAATCTTGGTTCCTCCCATCATTTAAGAATTGCATCAGAAGGCAGACTATCCGTGAAAGGCCTGAACTAAATGCCCTTGTTGCTGCTTCAGATACTATTACTTCCCTGTTATTTATTTACCTTTCCACAGTGCTCTCCTTCCCCCTGAAGCAGCACTCTAGTCCCTAGAGTATTTGCATATGGAATATGTTCTGCTTTTCAATTAACTTCTTTCTGTGCTCAATTTAGTGGATTTTATGTGTTTGTCATATGATAGGCCACCATCAAATGTGTGTTGTCCTTCTCCCCTGGTAAACAGAACAGGTGCTAATAAAAGCAAGAGAATGCTTGTTCTTGAAACCATTCCACAGATTAACTTGAGCTGTATTCCCACCTTTTAAGGAGGTAAACCTTACCTTTTGTTGTCTACAGTATGATTAACTACAGTCATTTCAGGTATCTGCTGAGCAGAAGGAGGACTACCCTTTTATGTGAAGTAGTTGTCTAAAGATCAGAAATAATTACTCTGCGCATTAGCCTTTGTGGCCTGCATGACCTGGTTAATTAATTTTTTGCTGGTATAATAATAATAGAAATATATTTGAAGATATACTTCATCATTAAGTATCTAATTGACCTCAACTTTTAAGAGCTGGACCTTCCATTTATTGTCTTTGGGGATGTCTAGAGTCACCAACAGAGGAGTGAGGAAGTCAGGAGCTGACTTCCAGTCTCACTTCTTCTGAGTTCACGTGT